GAATATCCGAAATTAAATAAAATATTTATTATTTAGAGACTATATATTTTTATTTTCTAGTCAATCAGACATACAGATACATCATTATAAAAAAACAAAATGCTTTTCGACAAAAAAATTGGACACAATTGTAGTTAAATGGAAAATAATATCCTAATAAAGAAGGATCATTTTTAAAAGTTATATTGGATGGTTAAATCGTATTAGCTTAAAAAAACGTAAACTAATAAATGAGAGTGTATCTTTTAAGACCCATATAGTAATATATATATTTTTTTTAAATATAGACCTTAGAAAAAATTTTAAAGAGCATCCCGAACAGGCCAGAAAATGTCAATTTAGAGCGGACCGAAAAATAATATTTCAATCTGGGATGGTGCTTGCCTTCAATTTGCATCTCCTGCGTCTGATATTATTTGATTTTATAAATATATACATAATAATTTTTAAAAAAAATAATAAAACTAGTTAATTTAGCATGAAATATTTATATTTGCTTTTAGAGAGGTCTAATATACCCCAAATTTATAATTATATATATAACTTTCATTTATATTCATTATTTTCGTTTTTAATATCCTGATATAAGATAGAACTAACCTTAAAACCATATAAAATATTTATTTATTTTAAATATACTATTACTCTTAGATAGGAAATGTTGAAAATAATTATAAGTGCCAAAATTTTCTAAAAAAAAAAGTAAAAAAAAAATATTTAACTCTAAATATTATATACAAAAATGATTATAGGATATTAAAGGTAAAACATTTCATAAAAATTATTATTTATTCATCTAAATAAAATGGAAATATTAAAAAAGAATTTCCTATATTAAATAAGGTTTTTAAAAAAACTTAAGAATTTACTATAGTAGGGTTTCACAGACCCCTCCCCCCCCCACCCCACCAGTCACGAAATGCGTATATCTTAAAAAGTACTCAATTAAAATTTTGTAATATATATATTTATAAATATATTTATAATGAAGTTATTCCAGATCATAATAATTAACCGTTTTTATGTAATATCAATTCTAGCTGGGGTCTCCAATAGACCACACCAGAGCATTGAAAAGATAAATATTGTAGTTTCATGTTTACTTAAATGTTTTATATAGGCGTCAATTTAATATTAGATTATATTATGTTCAATTTATTTTAATAAGTATTTGACTGTTTAATATAATTATGTTATTTTTGACTGTTTAACATATAAATATAATTGTCACAACAAAATTTAAAATAAAATTATCGTTTCACAATCGATACTATATTATATCAAAATCGTTCTCATGTACTATTATCTTTCACAATCTATTACGACGTACCCCTAATTTATTGCAACAAACATGTTACTGGGATAAAATAATAAAAATAATATTTATTATGAAATCAGATGGCACTAAATATTATAGAATAAAAGTTACTATATGAAATATCTTAAATTCTCCGAAGTTTTGTAATAATAGGTAAACCTAATTAAGAATTCCGCGCAAATTTAAGTGGGAATAAATTCGTAACAATTATAAATAAATGGGTAATTAATATAATTAATCAGAAATAGATAATGGACTATAATCTGAAATTAATTTATATATTATAAATATGCCTTCTTCATTTGTGTTTCGCTCTTACCACGGCACCATTTTAAAGGTTCAATTCAAATGTTGAACAATACATTTAGTTCAACATAATTTTTACTATAAAATTAAGTAAATGATTTATATCGATTTATTTTGAAAAGTTAAGTTGACTTGAACCTAATTTTCGAATAAATATAGTGATTGTCGTAAATAGCTGATTCTAATTGCCTAAGGATGGGCTTAAGCCGATTTTGATTGGCTATGGCCAAAAGCTTAGGCCAACTTTAATTGGCTGATTACTAAGCCTATTTTAATTGAGTCTAGCTCCTAACCCGATTTATATAGCCACAAATATAAATTTATTAGGCTAAAATATTTATTGTGAATGAATTATTTTAAATATTATATATATTTTTTTGTGTTTTTTTTTGTTGAAAATAGCGGTTTTTTAATTTCGTTTTTTTTCCCATTCCTAGGTAGTGTTGATTGATATACTGTCCAAAACAAATATAGTATCAGTGTATTTTTTTTGTTTCTTTATATTAATTTCCTTTCAATTTTTTTTATTCAATAAAAAATTCTAATAAAAAAAAATGATATTTAACTACATCTTTAAGTATTAGGTGCTAATTTATAAACTCAGGCCTAAAATTTTATAAAGAGTCTGTGTGGGCGTAGAAAACTTTAATATATCATGTGGCGGATATCATTCGCTTGATATTTTATTTTGAAACCCTACACAAAATAATTTAATTTTTAAAAACATTCTTTCTTTTTGTAAAATAAATATTTCGCCATCATTTCTTAATATCCAAAAAACAACTTTATAGGCAGATCTAACCCTTGTCAATGTCTCTCTCATACGATATATTTGTGTCAAAAGAACATTCGTAAATATTAAAGAATCTAACGTGATTATGCTGGAACGATTTTATTAGCAAAAATTAGCAAAAATTAGCAAATAGACTCATTAAAGTTATTAACTAATCCAGTATGTTAAATTAATTTCATATTTAAATAAATTTTGTATAAGTGGTTATAGAAAATATTATTATAGAGATGTACCGTATCCAAATGGCATATAATATTTTTTTAAAACTGATTTTTATGTATTTTGAAAGGTCATTTGAAAATCAGTTAAAACATGCCATTATGTTTCCCATATAAGAATTTTTACGATTAAATGATGCTCTATTTTTTTTTAAAAAAAGATTTTATATAATTATAATATATTATTTTATACACGAAATTAAAATTGTCTGTCACCACCTGATCTTTATACCTATTTAAACGAATGAATGATCAGTATAGTTAGTATCGTTTTATTGACGGAATTAGGAATTCGCGTTATTTTCATATCAGCTGATACTGGATCCCATTTGTTATATCTATCCATCTAGAATTTATGTATTATCTTATAAAAAGAGAATTTCCCAAAATTATGATAATATTAGAGCGGTAGCTAAATAAAAAATTTAGCGTAAATATGAGTCACTAGGGAGACCGATTATCTTGTGAGCCAGAGGTCCTTGCGAGTTTTTAGTGTACTCAACTCGAATAGTAAATTTTTTAACAAAAAAATATATAACCGCCTAATGCATATACGGCCATCTCCTATTTGATTGCTAACTAAGTTTTTCAGAAAAAATATCTGTCAATAAGTCAAATTTATGTCACTTATTCAAAAATTTAGTATTTAAATTTTTCTTTAAATTGTTAAGTTTTAATTTCAATATTTCAAAATTGTTTTTTTCTTTTTATTCTAAACCATTAGTTTTTAACTGTTAAAAATATTCAAAAACAAATGTTAAAGTTTTTATGCATTTTGTTTCGTAAGGTCATTCTAAATTGATTTTACCTTCAAAACAATTTAAATCAAACCATTCTATTCTAATTATATTATTTTGTATTAGATGATCCTTTTACTCTATACGATTTATTTTTGTTTTACCAATAAACTTATTGTGCTCAAGAATATTCATCATTGTGTATCTTAGTAAATTTCATGGTATTTTATAGTGCTTCATCAAGAATATTAATGTGTAACAAATCTCATCTAAACATTCTTCATATCCCAATCTCGACCAAATAATAAAATCTTTAAACGCTCAAAGCTGAGAACTCATTTAAATATTCAGATATTTTTTCTAGTGCTATTTATTTGAAGATAATTGTAAATTTAAAAAAATATTAGCCCCATCCCTTTGAACTACTGGACCTTCTAATTTTATTAGGATATTATGTCATGCCGCCCCACCGCCAACTTTGTCGTAGTCCATGCCGATTCCTTTAATTTGAATTGTAAATATGGTTTATAATAAGTTAAAATTTAGGATATACCTATTTTAAAAGATATGGAAATTGAACGTAACATTTAAAATATATTAAATTTATAAAAATTAAATATCCCTTTTTTCATATATTATTAATTAATATTTTCTATATACAGTGCCATAGATATAAAAGATTAAATTTTTGGATAGCAAATTATTATTATTTGTTAAAGGCAATACCGTTCATATATAAGTTTAATATAAAAATGGTTATATATTTAATTATGATGTAAAAAGTTACCGACTCTGAAGCGATGAGTTTCAATAAAATTAAGTTTCATTTGATACCCACGTTGAAATATCATACTGGATAACTTTGAACACTCTCCCCTCTTACCTATTTTAAAGACGTAATGATGAGAATCAATTAATATTAGCTTTAATTTGTTGGCCCATGCAATGGCCCCATGTTGAGATATTTTACTCACTTTTTACCCCTCCTCCCAACTCCCACCCTAAGCACATAAGGTGTTGCATACCAGCGTAATCATTTGATCTTAGTATTAGCTCCTTCTTCTGATATCTATGTTGACATATTATATTTTAAAAATCTTTATCCCCCCCCCCCTTTTTATCCTTGACATCGAGTGTTGAGTATCAATGAGTATTATCCATAGTTCTTTTATAAATATTAAATCTTTTAACATTTTCTCTTTGTGTATGTTTACTTAGATGTTTAATAACCTAAATCTCTTTAATAAAGTGAACTCGTTATTCTTTACTAATTTTGTTATTTGACGTAAATAGTTTAAAATAGAATTAAATTAAGTAAATAAATGAATGCAACAAATATAACTAATACCCATATTATATAGTTCTTATGCAATGGACAAAAAAATAAATCTTGCCCAATTTATCAAAGTAGTGCCCAATTAATCAAAGTATTTTCTCAAAAGTTAATAAGAATGGGACTCAAAATTTCAGTCAAATTAGGGAATTGTATAAATTAATAATTGACCAAACTAGACAGGTTTGACTCTTCTATTTATAATTAATTCATTAAGTCACCTCTTACATAGAATGGCAATCATTTGAACAAAGAACAATTTTTATAATAAATGATGGCCAACTTATAATAATAAATGTGCTTAAATTTGAAATTTTTTATTTTATTTTGCTTTTTACCAATATTCATTACGAATAAAGATGATAATGAATATACTGAAGAATATTACGATCAATATATTGATCACTTCAATTTTTATTCTTATAAAAATTTGACATTTAAACAAAGATACTTATATTTAAGTAATTATTGAAATTAATTCTTTTTATTACAAAACAATTTAATATCAATATTCAGATAAAGATTTCAATCATATCAATGGATCTTTATTATTTTATACTGGCAATGAAGGTGACATAACATCATTTTGGAATAATACTGGTTCTCTGTTTGATTTTGCATATCTGGTCAGAGGTTTTATCGTTTTTGCAGAACATGTAAACTAAATATTTATATTAATGAGAAGGAATATATTTTTTATAGAGATTTTATGGAAAGTCTTTACCATTTGGTGCAAAAAGTTTTGATTCAAATAATATAGGACTTTTATCTGTTGATCAGGCATTAGCAGATTTTGCTGAATTGATACGTTACATCTTTATTAAGTTTAAGCTGAATCCTAAAATACCAGTCATTACATTTGGTGGAAGGTTTCAAAAATTTATATTGATATTTAATTTTAAAGAATATTACATGTGATTTTCTAATTAGTTTATTGATATAATATAAATTTATCTTAAATAATTGGCACAGCTCAGTTTTTGAAAAATTACAGATTTTAAATTACATTATCTCCTCTGGGTTAGAATAATTGTAATTTGTAAAATATTTTGCTAATGAAAAAATTATTTTTAAAACAAATTAACATTTTATTTACAACTCATTGTCCTAACCAGTGTTGCTAAATGACTCGATTTTTAAAATTAGCTAACCCAATATTTTAGTCAGTAAATAATGTAGGCCTGAATGGCAGAAAAGTTTGAGCATCCATTAACAAAATCTTGAGACTTGCAAAGAATATTTTTTAAAAAATGTTTTTTTTCCCCACAAATATATGTATATTTTTTTAGATCCTCTATTATCATAATCTTGAATCTTAATAATGATTAGAAACATATTTTTTATTACAATCGATTCATAGTGTTATCACTAAAATAACAATATTTTAATAATAAAATATATTTTATAAAAAAGTATTATGAAGCACCAATATAATGATTATTAGAAACATGTTTTTATAACATTATTATTAAATTTCTTATATAATAATGCAATTCATTATAAATGTTTTTTATCTCCTAAGCATCATTAAAATTCCATTTACAAGGTTTAGTAGTAAAAACTAAAGATTATCTGGATTAGAAACCAGCAAGAGTTCTTTTTTTTTCACCAAACCCTACCTGACCCAAATGAATAAACATAAAATTATTTTAAAAATCGAAAATGAAACAAATTATTATAAAATACATTACTTCAAAAAATTAATGCATGCTTGCTACCTCACAAAAAAATACTGTCTTTCTTTACCTTGGTAAAAGTACCTCAATAAACATTACTTAACTAACACACTACTTGTTAGCATTACTTAAAAATGCTAAAAATATTGTATTTACCAACATCTATTGCTGTGCTGAATAACCACTCAGCATCGGCTAACTCAGAGGGAGGAGGGTGGTATTATATTTAAAAAGTTAAAAAAAATTTAATTGGATATGGCCGTACCGATCCATGAACCTTTCGCCCATCTAATCCAACATTTATATTGATTTTTTATTTGATCAATATTTTCTATTCTAAAAAAATTTTTTAACTAACTTTCAAGAATGATCTAGGTGTATTTTGTTTATTCTCCAAAAGTTAATAAATCTCATTTTAAAATATTGGCTGTTGTTAACAACAAAATCAATATTTTAGTGGAAATATATTACCTAAGCCTCGAAATTTCGCTAATAGAAGTCTAAAACCTTTCTGTCATATGTGGTTAGTGTTGTTAAACTGCCTAACTTTAGCCAACTATAAAACAAGTGTAGCTCTGTATTCATCCAAAAATATTCAAATCAATCTTCAAGTTAAGACTCAACTTAGAAGCTTAATTCAATTTTTTAAGCTTAAAGCTTGACTAAGCCACAATAGAGATTGTCAAAGTAAGGGTAATTTAACAACACTATATGTGGTCAATATCTCCAAACTTGGGCAATTTACTTTTGGCCAACATCTTGAAATAGCCGCTTTTAAAAATGGCGAAATCGAGCCGGACAACAACATTAGCGGAATCTAACTTTAAATATTTTGAAAATCCTTTTCTTGTTGCATATAATGTAGCGAAAAAATCGAATTTTTAGTTACTCAGTTTTTTTTTAGACATTACATATAAATTGAATTTTTGTTCCATTTATCAATTTATTATTATTATTAATAAAATTATGTATAATAAAGCTATGTCCTAAATGTTTGTTTTTTTAAAAAATCTCTAAATTTATAAATTTTCGCAAATTAATAAAATTATGAAACGTGTTCTAAATCTTGCATTATTTTTATATTTTTACAAAAAAAACAACGAAAAACGAGAATACTATTTTTTTTCGTAAAAATTACCAAAATAAATAAATAAAAATTTTTTTTCAAATTTATTCATTTTTATAAAAAAATTATGAAATTTTTGTAAATGACGAAAAATTATATTGGAAAACTATTTTATTTTTTAAATGAATCCCTCGAGGACATTTAAGTGGATGGGCTAGGGGGGAGGGGCATTTAAGGGGGTAGGCTAGAGATCGACAAATACTTCAGATAGTAATCCTGTTAAAAATAGCTCTAATGTTATTATTCTTTTTTCTTTCAAAATTTATTTATATATTTTTTTAGATTTAGGACACACCCTGAAATGAAAAAAAAAAATAATATAATATAATTTTTATTATATAATTATTATATTATTATATACAATCATTAAAATATCGGGTCTGGTCGATTTTATAAAAATATATTAGCCCGATCCGTTACCATTTTATAAAACGCTACAACCCCGGAAATGCGTTTTATAAAATCATGCCCCTTTTTCCGGTTTCAATACGCTAGGTGTCACCTGATTTTTAACTCATAACGGATAAAGAGGCCATGTTTTAATCCATTACTACTCATTTTTTTCATTAATGACGTAATATTATTAATTTTTAATTTTTATTAAAGTTATGGGGGCATTCTAAGCACTTACATGAGATTGAAATACCCGAACTTAGTGGAAGGTTCCATATCATCAAGCGCTCCTCTGATGTCTGTGGCGGGTCTCGTGCCGAGGAATTTCTTTTTTAAACGAGTGACAGAAGTAAATCAAAATTTTTTGTGATCTATTACTTTAAAATATTGAACTTGCTGTTGCCACTGATCCTGAACTCCATTGTTTTGGTCGATACTTTTTATTTATACCGATACCATTGGTCCAAAAATAATAATTGACCTTCGTGTTTTTTTATTATTTTTGGATAAGCATGATATCGGCGCATCTCCCTTAATTTTACATATAGAAGTATCAGTGAGCCAATACTCCTCAAAGATCTCAGATTTTTTTGTGCATAAGAATGACAAAAGATTTACTTATTTTGGAATTTTAGGATCAAAATGATTTTATTTAAAATGGCTGTTTGAGCATTCTCAATAAAATCTTTGGAATTTAAAAAAAAAACTTTCAAGATTTTTATTTATCTTGTGGAGCATTTTAAACTCTGACACATGTATTTTTTAAAAAAAAAACCATTATAACATTTCGATTTTATGATTCGAATAATTCACGAACGACGTCTGATGATGGACATGATTGATCGTGAATTAAGTGAGGAAAAATGAGTCCTAAATCGAAAACATAATTTTGTTTGAGCTCTGCAAATTCAAATTTTCAAAGCCCAGACCCGGTTTTTTTAAACATGGCCCGAAATTTAATTTATCGTTTAGGCCTGACCTTAAATTTTAGGCCCGAGTTTGACCCAAAATTTTCTTAAAAGGATCTTATTGGACACATTTTTTTTTACGAAATTAACATCACTAGGCCGGGCGTACAGGTCTCTGGTAAATGTAGCAACTATTAGATTTCGGTTTAAGACCATTATGACCTAACCACTGATTATCGCTACACCCCATATTCAGGTGATTTGGGGGGTTAAAATTGGAATTTTTTTTTTTACTATGATGATGTAACCTATATTACAACCAATGACATATAATAAGACCGACGATGCATTCATTAAAAATGTACATCGACGAAAACAGCTGGGGCCGACATTTTGATTACCCATATCATTGTTAAAAATTTTAAACGAGGGGCCAATTTATTTCCTATGTCTGACGCAAACCTTATTGGAATGACCTGATCATCGAGTTGATAAGGAAGCAAGTCATCAATTTGATAGTAGTGTTCATGAGAATAATTGCTATATGTATTCCCAAAATGGCTGGTTCAGCTGATTTGCATTCAACGAAGCTTTCAAATGCATTATTATGAATGCATCGTCAGTCTAGTCTAGGTATTATTATATGTCATTGAATACAACTTACTACGTATTGAAATCATAAAAAATATGTTCATTTTAACACGGTTATAAATTAAATTTAATTTTTCTATTATTCTTTAATAAATATAAAAAGATATATCTCGGTACGAATCGCGATTGTGTCCACAAAATACGGAACGGTTTTGCAGATATTGACAAAAATTTGTGCGATGGATTGCATAGTTAGAGATTTGCTATAAAAAAAATTTTTTTTTTTAAGAAATAGAACTAGTTTGTTAAACTAACCTATCTTTAGTCAACTATAAAACAGCGTGGCCAAATTTTTTATTCAGAAATATTCTAATAAATCTTCAAGTTGAGACTCAGCTTTAGAAGCTCAATTCAATTTTTTTTAGTGTAAAAGTTTGACTAAGACACTATAGAAATGGTCAATGTAAGGTAATTCAACAACACTAAATTTAACAGGTGAAATAAGAAGAAGAAAAAGGGGGACTTCACGCTTTTCCATTTTTCTTCATAAATATTTTAGAAGATTTAGGCCAGATTTATAGTATACGCTCCTCGAGCGTTGCGTTATTTAACGCGGCGTTATCGCAAAATAAAATGGGCCTAAATTTTATTAAATAATAAAATTTGATAAAAAAAAACATGTGTTGTGATGCGTTGATAAAGAAGAAAGTATGCGATACGATTATAAAAATAATAGTGAATTCGAATATAAAGATATATTATTTATCTTAAATTAGTTTTTAAATACTGAATCAGCTATAATAACGTAATGCTTGAAGATAACGCTTTTACTATGAATACAGTGTGAGGTTCTCGAGTTAAAAATAAATTTTAGCCAGTTTTGTAAGATATTTCCCATATTACCCAATTGAAAACATTGCCCGTAACGACCAATTATTTTTTTTAATATAATTTTTTGGTAAGTTCCTGTTTAAATCACTCGGAATAAATACTGAATGCCCAGATTCATATCGTAGGCCGTATCCTAAGGTCGGCTTAATAGCCGTCTTTTAAGCAGGTTTCTGGATCCGAATTTCGGGTTCATAAAATTTAATAATGTTTGGTTGGGCATTTTGAGGTCACAGCACAGACCAAACAGAAACCTATTTATGGGCAACCCATCTAGCTCGGGGTAGGATGGATCATTGGCGGGTTCAGACCTCTCTTAGAAAATTATTTAAGCCTAACTAGCACACAGCCTTGAATGCCCAAATGGGAAAAAAAAATACTAATTGCTCAGGAATAAAACGGAAAGATTAAAAAATGCAAATTGGGGATGTTTTTTAATTAAAAACGCTTCAAATTATATCTAACACTTTAAAATTTAGGTGCCAGAAACCTCACGAAAGAACTGAAACTTTGCCGAATCCTGGATTGTAAAAAAGATGGGCCACAATTGTACAATTGGATAAGGAACGCTTTCGTCATTCTTTCCATGTGCAATTATCCCTACCCGTCAAACTTTTTGGCCGCGTTGCCCCCTTACCCCGTTAAGGTAAAACCTACTTGAATTTAAAGGATTTCATGTATGAATATCATTGGAAACCTTTTTTTTTTTTAAAGTGATGATCCATATCGTCATCGAGAAATATTGTAGTTAATTGAAAGAATGAAAGGGGAAACAATATTAATCAATCATATGGTCAAATATTCCTAAAACATTTTTTTTTAACAATATTTATATTAGGCTTCTTGCCATCTTCTGAAGAAACTTTCCACACCTATGGAAGGAATATACAAAATTTTATGTAAATAAGTTTAATATATATATTTATTTTTTTTAAATTTAAAATGAAATAGAGTTTTTAGAAAAACGTGAAGGAGAGGAAACCAGTGAGGTACAAAAGAAAAATAACAATTTTTTTTAAGCTTCCGATCTTAATGGGACCAAAGTATGGCATTAAAAGACCGATTAAATAGATTTCCCTCAAATGGGTTCTGTCAATAGTTTTTTTTAAAAGGGCCAGTTTTTCCCTCTTTTCCGAGTTCAAAATATTCGCGCGAATTTTTGATCAGGATGAATTTTACTCCGGGAATAATCCCGGTTCTTACCCGAGGCTTCATAGACCGACGAGATTTATGAGCGCATTCCACTCTTCTTCTTTTTTTTTAGAAATTATCGTGTTTAAACTGTTCTACCTTTGCCTTTATTTTTTCGTAATGTAGCTTTGGTCTACAATACCTCGGGGCTAGGAGACAAAAAATGTTTCGACCTTTACACCGAATATAAAATTTGCGCGGACCCTACGGGTTGCGGATTGGGCCAGGACGGAAAGGCTTGGGATTATCAAGTATAATAAAGAACATTCTAGATATTTTACGCTTCAAAAATGGATGATATTATTATTTTTTTCCCCACTTTGACCACCAATATGTTTCGAAAAATCAAATGGCTCGAGGGGTTTAAAATTTTTGACTTAGTCTTAGTTACACTGACCTAACATTGCGCATCCAAATTTTGTCAAAATCTCTAAGGGGCAGGGCGGAAACGCTATTTTATTTGATATGGATTCACGCAATCACCCTTTTCAAATTTTTTTTGAAAATTTTTGTACATCTACGGTTGAATAAATTCTTTCTAAATTTACATTTTTTTTTAAATAATAGAGTTGCACAGATTTCATTCTTCCTAGCGGCAGCGATAATGTAACGGATATGTTTCCACGCTTACCTTTCACCATTCAACAGAGACGCGAGTATTGTAAAGCTACTTGGAACGTAGAACCTAGGGATCATCGATTGGCGCTAAATTTTTGGGGTGACCATTTGGGAACCGCTTCTAATATCATATTTAGCAACGGAGATTTAGATCCTTGGATGCCTGGAGGGGTTATATAATTAAAATTTTATATTTTTAAGTTGATTTTTTTTTTCGATGCTCCAAATAATAGGTCGAAGAGAATGGATGAAAATTTAAGACGACAGAATGTAGAGAGAAAAAAACAAAGATTAAAATAAAATAAGCTGACTCAGTCCAAAGGAAGTCAAAAGAAGTAATAAATAGAGACTTCTATAAGACGAAAAAGGATAGAGTCCTAAAATTAGATGATTGATGCCTATGATAGAAGGGCCACGAATATGACACTTTATAACATTTTTTGACTTTTTCTATATCATAATTAAGATTCTGAAAAATGTATCTTCCAGTATAATTTCCATCGTCATCGAGGGCGGTGCTCATCATCTGGACCTGAGAGGTTCGAGGGGCGATGATACGGATTCGGTTAAACATGCCAGGCAAATAGAGTTGGGGTACATTCAAAAATGGATCTCAAGTTCGAAATCTGGCATTGAGCGCGAATCAGACATCTTGGATGATATTATAACGCGGAACGATGTTTGACGAATGAACCATTCCCCTCAGAGCTCATATATTGAAATTATTTGAAAAAAAAACAAATTGTAGAATAGAATAGACCCAGGATTCTTATGAATTTTTTGCTTTTTTTTTTTGGTAAAATAATAGTAGTATTAATGTCATACTAAAGAACCATATTGTATGAATAATTATTTAATGCTCAATTTTAAAAAAAAATTCAGGCCTAATAGTGTATACAGTGTAACATTTTACGTTTTATTTCTAATAATGTTTTTTTTAAAATGGTAACTTGAGTTTTTTTTTAAACAACGAACCGTATTTTTCAGGAAAAAAACAATGTCAAGTGTTTCTTTATTTAATAGGACTACCATCAACTAAACAGTTTTTTATAGCTATTTTTTTGTATAAAAATTTAGAGTAGAGTTAGTAGTGCTGAAATTCAGATGTTTAATCAACTCAATATTGTATATTATCCGAATTATTTATTTATATTCTAATATAATATATAAAACTATACAAATAATTATGTAATGATTGAATATACCTACCATTTAAATTGTATATTGATATTTATTTTTTTCTAATTACAAATTTATATATATAATTTTTAAATTATCCATTCAAAATCATGAAAATTTTATAAACTATTATTAAAAAAATTATAAATTATAAAATAGAAATCAAATTATATATATATTTTAAAATAAAATTGATTTCGAATATAATTTAAAAAAAGCACATATTTTGTTATAATCTCTATAAAGTTATAATCTAGATAAAGATATTTTGTGCCACAAGTCAAAATAAATTTTAACTTAGTATTTAAAGTACAAAGTTGACCATGAATGGTTTAAAATCTATATTTTCAAATCATCTTAACTTCTATTCAATGACTTAGAATTATACAAAATTTTATTTGGTGATGTAATGAAAAAGCTAAAATATATTTTTTAAATAAATTATTTACATACGTTTAGAACTTTTTGTTACTTCGTTAGCTCTAATTAACACTTTCCTAAGATAATATATTTTATAGAATAGAATTACTAGATAAAAGTTGAATAGACCTAACCATAAGTGTAAAAAAAACAACTTTGCTATTTTAAACAGTAAAAAATATTAGTTAAAATTTTTGATAGGAGCTTCTAAAATTCTAATTACACAAAGTATAAAGCTTTAAAGTATCATCTTATTCCAGTATCAACTTAAATTGGCGGGAGATATATCCTTCCATATATCTAAAAGGGTTAGTGAATGAGTTAGACTACTCGATTTCCACATTGAGGGAGGGGGGGTAGAGCATTTATCCCTATATACTTTTGATCATATAGTGGGGAAAAATATGAGTTGAAGGTAAGGTGTAAATCTCTGATATGTTGTCTTAGATTTTATTTTCTGTGGAAGAAGCTATTAGACCCAAAAATATCATAACCTTTTATTAAAATATATTTAACTCAGTTTAGATTAAATGGGTTGGCTTTAAGGTCTATTTTTTATCCGAGTTCAATGCATGGTTTAATGGATTGGCGTGGACTAAAGGCGTATTTTTGCTCTCAAAAAACCTACTGTCTGACCCAGCATAAAAAAACTAATTATTAGCCATAATTTTATTTTACAAAATAAGGAAATTGTCTATAAATTAAAAATATATATTCAGTGTGGTAGTCGATATTTTTTATAAGAATTTCGCTTACTTTTCTCTTATCGATTTTATATTTTTTACATGTTTTTCTTTCGATTTTTTGTTTATATAAATAATTTATTATCGCTTTAATATTTATATTGGCATGTTTTTCTTTTAATTATGTTTGTTTATTCTTAATTTTTTAATATGTAGATATATAATAGTATTTTTAGGGAATTTTTTTTTTTACAAATGAATAAAATAGAAGGTAAGGAAAAAATACAAAACGCTAAGAAATTAATATTCCCCAGTCTAAAACTTAATATTCGATAAATCTAAAGATGTCAAATTCGAACAAAAATTTTGAGTATTTGAAATATTCAGTTAAATATCCTTGTATTTTATTAATTTTTAATTTGCGAATCGCTAGTGTTAGTGTCGAGTCAACGCAATCATACCTTCATTTTTATACTTCGCATGGCTCAATTATTAATTGAATGTTCAACTATAGAAGATATTGAGGCTAGATTACAAGAGAAACAATAGTATAAGATTATATATATAAATAAATATACTTTTTTTTCTTTTAGCCATATATTTCTATTATTTTTTTCTGCACCTTGGTCTCCACAATGTAACGAAGTTAGTCAGGCACTAACAGAACATATTAAAAATCCAGATTATAGCGATATGATTTTTATTAAAGTAAATTAAATATACACAATTTCTTCTTAGTACATATTAATTTTAAGTAACTATGCACAAATATTTATAAAATTATTTATTTTATTGAAATTAATTGTTTTAAGATTGATTCTGAAAGTGTACCTGATTTGTTGGAAAAATATAGAATTGAAATGGTTCCCACATTCGTTTTCATTCAGGTTGAAATATATTTAATTAATATACAATTACCTTTTCATCAGAATAATAAAATTGTTGACAGAGTTGATGGACTAAATCCTATTGAACTCAATCAAAAATTAAAATATTGGGCAATGGATATACCTCGAAAAGGAAAATTAAATTTTGATTCACACAATCATAATACATCTATAAAGACAAAACCTGTGAGCTATATAATAAAACAAAAAGAAATGAATTTATATAATAGGTAACTTTAGAAGATAAGTTGAAAAATCTAATCAACAAGAATAAATTTATGTTATTTATGAAAGGATCTCCAGATCATCCTCAATGTGGTTATTTTTAACATACAAATATCTTGAAATGATTATATTTTAGGATTTAGCAAGCAAATTGTTAGTTTATTAAATAAAAATGGTATTGAATTTGAACATTTTGATATTCTTCAGGACCCTGAAGTGAGAGATGGTAATTAATTTAAAATTATAATTATAAATGTGATATATATCATAAAGGCCTGAAAATTTTCTCAAATTGGCCCACATATCCACAACTGTATATTAATGGTGAACTTGTTGGTGGCTTGGACATTGTCAAAGAGATGGATGAAAATGGTGAGCTTAAAACTATGTTAAATGATCTACAAAATGTGGAAAATAAACAAATAAAATCTACTGATAGTGGAGATACAAAATCTGATATTAATAGAAGGTAGACATATGTGATGTGTTTAAGTGGTCTGCAAATGGCAAAATTTTTATTCAAGGTCTGGTGAAAATTTAGATATTACCTGGCCCAATTTTAATTTTTTATTAAAGTTGCTCAGTCATAATCCTAAACCAAAATATATGTTGTTGAACACAAAAATAAACAATTAATTATAACATTTGGGTGCCTAAATAACAAATTTTCAAACATGGGCCAAGCAAGGCTGAGTCTTGCAGACCTCTAATGTGATTAGTAGTGTTGTTAAACGGCTCATTTTGAGCCGATTTTTAAAACGGCTAACTCAATATTTTAGCCAGAAAAATATTGCCTAAGTCTCGAGATTTCGATAATATATGCCTAGACCTTTGTTCCTTCTATGAGCAAAATCTTGAGGCTTGCGTAATATTTTTCTGGACAAAATATTGAGTTAGCCATTTTTAAAAATCGGCTCAAAACAAGCCATTTAACAACACTAGTGATTAGTTACATTATATTTGTGATATTTTATATTTTAATATAACTACATTCCACAAAAGGATTGAAAAGTTGATCAATATAGCTCCTGTTATGGTATTCATGAAAGGAGAAGTTAAAAATCCAATGTGTAAATTCAGTAAGGAACTCATTCCCATTTTAAATGAAACAAGGTTTATTTATAGTTTATTAATCTATACATTTTTATAACTTTCTGAAGTTTTTAAAATTCTAAACAATCAGTCTCTGGGGATATATATATATATAGGGATAGGAACAATGTGGATCTATATGCCAATCTGTGATTAAAAATTTTATTTGAATAATCATTTTTTTCATACTTATCAATGAGCCCTCATTAAATATCTATGGTTTATCCGTTATTTAGGGCCTGATTAAGTTAAAAAAAATCTCATTTAATTTTCAGTGAATTTCTTTGATATTCAACAAATCCATTTCATCGTCAAAAGGTTTTTACAAAAAATTTGACCAAAAATTTATTTAACGATTGTTGATTTTGAGCAGTTTGTGAAACCCTGTCCTGATAGCTAAAAGTGACCGAGTTTTAAATTGTCATAATTGGTTCCCACACTAAATCGCCAAGTTCAAAATAGCCAAATATTTTTGTACGTAATTTAAAACCACAAGTAATATAATATTTTATATATAATACAGCCCTAATATATCATGATACTAATATAATGTAATAAAAGAAATTATAATACAAATATAATATAATAGTAATATAATTATAATAATATAATGATATTATAATATAATAAAACACTAACATATAACATAGTGTAATACAATATAAAATATAAATTATAATATAATATAAGTATACTAATTATAATTTTTATATTATAATATAATAAAATACTAACATATAATATAGTCTAATACAATATAAAATATATAATACTAATATAATATAATTTGATACTAATAATGTAATACACTATAATAAATATAATAATATATAATACTAATATAATTAAAATATAATGATATTATAATAATATATATAATTATAATATAATGATATTATAATATGAAAAAATACTAATATATAATATAATGTAATATAATCTAATATAATATAATACTAATATGTATTATAATATAATAAAAATCCTAATATAAGTCTAATATAATATAAAATATATATAATAATATAATCTAAAATGTATAATAATAATATAATATATAATAATAGTATAATGTAATATAAAATATGTAATAATAATAAAATAAAATTATTATTAAAAATAAATTTTGTTTAATCAGGCGTCCTAGATTTTAACATCCTAATAGTTTATTTTTTAAGGTTTATATTGATTCATAAGTATATGGAACTCACTTTTTATAAGCTTCATGAATAAATTTTTTTATCTTAGTTAATTTAACTTTTACTCCTATAAATATCTAATATCTTAATATTTTATTTTTTTTAAGGTTTATATTGATTCATAAGTATAAGAAACTCACTTATCTTATTGGAAACTTTATGAATAAATTTTTTTGTCATAGTTAATTTAACTTTTACTCCTATAAATATCTGATATCTTAATATTTTATTTTTTTTAAGGAATATATTGATTCATAAGTATATGAAACTCACTTGTCTTACTGGAAACTCTATGAATAAATATCTATTTTATGATTTAATCTTTCATAAGTCCGATTTGCTTGCTGAACAATCGATCCATTATGAATTTGTAAGAGTTTAATATCGTTCGAATTTTGATTTTCGATCAATATTTTTATAAGAACGTACACATTCGGATGTGCACTGCTGGTTTTCCTTTTTAGAGCATGATGGAACCCCTCGAGGTGGTTATTTGTGCGAGGCCCATCTACATGATACCTAAAATAAATATTGAAAAATATTAGAATAATTGAATACAATTATTTTAAGTTTTTATACCTTGTCCATATAGTATGGGGGAATAAGGCAGTTTCACCAAGCCACGTATGATCCATATACTCCATAAAACGAAGTAGGGATGGATTGTTAGTTGCCATTGAGTAGCAAGATAAACGAACCTCGGCCAAATGCTCCTCCTTGCAAAATGGTAAAGTTGTCATCCGCCTAACAACTATGTGGACATGGGAGTCGTTCAGGTAGTCCCTAACTAAACCCAAAGCTTGACATTTCCGCCATAAAGCTTGAGAATAATGGAAGAAACATCCTAAATATTTTAAATTATAATTTACATATATTATAATTTAACCTTTGATCACTATATTTGGTATTCGGTAATACAAATCAAAGAGCAGATATATCCGCTGCCTCAAAATCTGTTTTACCATTTGGAGGATTGAAATTGATGCCTTCCAGGTTACAAAAATTTCTGACTATATGAAATAGTTCAATATATGTCTCCCTTGATTTATCTGGAAGTAGAGCATATATAACTGGTATCATGACGTTTTCATACATCACGTGTATGGTATAGAGCTGACAATATAATCTCGGAACTATGTAGAAAATTCCGTCCACATATATTGTCATAGCAGCTCCCAACAATTTTAACATATCCTTAGTCCCAAAGACCAATATCCTATTATATTCAGTAGGGATGTGAAATCTTTGAGATCTGGTAGAGGTTGCATATACAGGCGTTGATATTATATTATCAATTGAATGAGGCATGGAAGGCCTATATTTCTTTAGAAGTCTGTCAATATGACCCCTAATTGATATGTAAGGGGGGATTGCCTCTGGATAATTTTCGATGTGAGTAGTCTCTAAACATCTAATATCGATAGTTTTTTTATAAATCCTCATCCTTGTTTCGGTAGGATCTTGGGCAATCGTTCTTTCAAGAACCTCTTTTGTTTTGAGAAGCTCAAAATACCCGACATCAGGTTGGTTTCATGTACACCTGATGAAATGTAAATATGATCATATTTACATTTTGCAGAACAGCCTGGTTTCCTGCAACGGTAATGAACAACATCCCCCCTTTCATAGTGAAACCGGTAGAGATGATCTTGATAAAAAAGGAAAGGTTTTCCCTTTTGACCATTGACAAATTGACCTTTAAACTATATATATATATATTATATTATTATATTATGTTTTTACCATAAATATTTTGATTTATGTCACCATTATTTCATAATCATCTATAGTTAATTTAATTTTTATTCAACCATCTTCTAAATTAGTCAATAGATTTAATGGTGAGATTGAAGAAGAATGCTGTTATAAATGTGTTATTGGTGTATCTTTAAAAATAAATGATAAAAAATATATTGTGATAATTTACCTCTTGTAGAATACATTGTAAAGGGATTGGAACACTTGGCATAGTAACCGGCATAGTTGCAACTTTAAAAAATGATTAAAAAATTTATTGTGATAATTTACCACTTGTAGGTAATATACATTGTAAAGGGATTGGAACACTTGGCATAGTAACTGGCAGAGTTGCATCTTTAAAAATAAATAAAATAAATGATTAAAAAATTTATTGTGATAATTTACCTCTTGTACATTGTAATGGAATAGCGACTGTTGGCACTGTTGCATCTTTAAAGATAAATAATAAAAAAATGAAAGTAATATTATTGTATTGGAGAATATATATTCTTACATTTACAAGTGTGGATATGTTGTTTTGTAACAACCACATCTACAAAGGAAAGCTTTGCATGACCCCCACAGTTATCTCTGCACTTTAGGTAAATGTAATTTGGTCCATTCCCCTTTATTAAATATTCATAGCCCAAATAAACAATTACATCATTCTTTTTTTGGGTTTCCTAATAAAAATATACAAAAGAATAATAATGGCTAATTACTTTAAATAGAATATTTTGTATTCTGGAATAATCTTGTAAATTCATTTGACTATTTTTTTCATGTGAATGTTGTTAAGAATTAATTTGTGGAATGGTTGAGTGCATATCATGAATATTTCCATGATCTTGATGATTAAAAATTAGAGTAGTTAAAGATTCTGTTATCAAATCATTTGTATTGTGTACAGGTTGGTGTTGTAAAGTAATTAGCCATTATTATTCTTTTGTATATTTTTATTAGGAAACCCAAAAAAAGAATGATGTAATTGTATTTGGGCTATGAATATTTAATAAAGGGGAATGGACCAAATTACATTTACCTTAAGTGCAGAGGTAACTGTGGGGGTCGTGCAAAGCTTTCCTTTGTAGATGTGGTTGTTACAAAACAACATATCCACACTTGTAAATGTAAGAATATATATTCTCCAATACAATATTATTACTTTCATTTTTTTATTATTTATCTTTAAAGATGCAACAGTGCCAACAGTCTCTATTCCTTTACAATGTACAAGAGGTAAATTATCACAATAAATTTTTTAATCATTTATTTTAAAGATACAACTCTGCCAGTTACTATGCCAAGTGTTCCAATCTCTTTACAATGTATTTTACCTACAAGAGGTAAATTATCACAATAAATTTTTTAATCATTTATTTTTAAAGTTGCAACTATGCCGGTTACTATGCCAAGTGTTCCAATCCCTTTACAATGTATTTTACCTACAAGAGGTAAATTATCACAATAAATTTTTTAATCATTTATTTTATTTATTTTTAAAGATGCAAATCTGCCAAGTGTTACAATTCCTTTACAATGTATTAAATGATTAAAATATCTATTGTGATAATTTACCTCTTGTAGGTAAAATACATTGTAAAGGGATTGGAACACTTGGCATAGTAACCGGCATAGTTGCAACTTTAAAAATAAATAAAATAAATGATTAAAAAATTTATTGTTAATTTACCTCTTGTGGTACTTGAGGAAATCGTAGGGTCCTTATATTGGCTGTAAAATAATATAAGCTTTTTCTATATAATTTTTAAAATACATTGTTAAGGAATTGTAACACTTGGCAGATTTGCATCTTTAAAAATAAATGATTAAAAAATTTATTGTGATAATTTACCTCTTGTAGGTAAAATACATTGTAAAGGGATTGGAACACTTGGCATAGTAACCGGCATAGTTGCAACTTTAAAAATAAATAAAATAAATGATTAAAAAATTTATTGTGATAATTTACCTCTTGTAGGTAAAATACATTTTAAAGGGATTGGAACACTTGGCATTGTAACTGGCAGAGTTGCATCTTTAAAAATAAATAAAATAAATGATTAAAAAATTTATTCTGATAATTTACCTCTTGTACATTGTAAAGGAAAAGGGACTGTTGGCACTGTTGCATCTTTAAAGATAAATAATAAAAAAATGAAAGCAATAATATTGTATTAGAGAATATATATTCTTACATTTACAAGTGTGGATATGTTGTTTTGTAACAACCACATCTACAAAGGAAAGCTTTGCACGACCCCCACAGTTATCTCTGCACTTTAGGTAAATGTAATTTGGTCCATTCCCCTTTATTAAATATTCATAGCCCAAATAAACAATTACATCATTCTTTTTTTGGGTTTCCTAATAAAAATATACAAAAGAATAATAATGGCTAATTACTTTAAATAGAATATTTTGTATTCTGGAATAATCTTGTAAATTCATTTGACTATTTTTTTCATGTGAATGTTGTTAAGAATTAATTTGTGGAATGGTTGAGTGCATATCATGAATATTTCCATGATCTTCATGATTAAAAATTAGAGTAGTTAAAGATTCTGTTGTCAAATCATTTGTATTGTGTACAGGTTGGTGTTGAAGAATTATTTTGTGATTAAAATGTTAAAAATTTTAAGATGCTTATAAATCTGTTAGGGTGCATTAACAGTAGAGAGCACAGCGACACGACAAACACGACACGACATTAAGCGACAGAGCAGCTGATGTGTCGTAAGCGACATAGCATTCATAGTAGTAGGCGGCAAACATATTTTTATTTTTTTTAAAAAATGGTATCAATTACAACTTTAAAATTAATCCTCTTATATCGAGCAATGAAAAGACGCAGAAAAAATAACCTAAATGTTAGAAAAGAAGAGGAGGGTGAGTTCGCCATACTTTTCCCCAAACTTTTAAACAATCCTGAAAAGTTTTATAACTATATGAGATTAACTAAAGTATATATTTCATTGTTTAATCTAAATTTAAATTTTGTATTTAGAAAACCTTTTATTATATTTTAAGCCATATTAAATCAAGAATAGTGGTAAAAAAACCAATTTTAAAAATCCTACATCAGTAGAGGAAAAATTGATGATAACACTAAGGTTTATATTATTTATTTTATTTTATATAATCAAAATTGCTAGATATTTGGGAACAGGGTGTAGCTACCCTAGCTTAGCATATTCTTATAAAATGGGAATATCAACAATTCTAATAATTATCACAACATATACTGCCATATTTGAAGTACTTGAAAATATTCATTTAAAACCACCAAATTTAAATCATTTGAAAATAATCGCTGATCAATTTGAGAAGTCTTGGAACTTCCCAAATTGTGTTGGAGCTATTGATGGCAAGCACATTGAAATTAGAAATCCAGCTAAATCTGGGAGCTTATATTATAATTATAAACAATATTTTTCCATAATCCTACAAGCTTTAGTTGATGGTAGAGGTAGATTCATGGTAATAGCTGTAGGCAGTTATGGCAGTGAATCAGATGGAGGTGTGTACTCCAATTCTTTATTATCAAAAATGATTGAGAATGGAGACATAGATATTCCACCTCCTAAAAAATTACCAAATTCATATATTATTCTGCCACTTGTTTTTGTTGCAGATGATGCCAACCATTTAAATTATTATATTATGAAACCTTATAAAGGTAAATTATCACACATTCAAGAAAATTTTAACTATCGTCTTTCAAGGGCAAGAAGAATGGTGGAATGTACTTTCGGGATATTAGCATCTAAATGGCGAATTCTGAATCGAGCCTTGGATACGAATATTACCAACAGTGAATTAATTATCAAAACTTGTGCACTATTACACAGTTTGGTGATTGATAAGGAAAACGTAGATCTCCGCCCCAAGAATACTCAAGATCCTAAACAAAATAATTATTTATGGAATCATCAATCTATAAAAAAAACCCTCAAAGGTTTCTAAAGATATCAGAGATGCCTTTTCTGAATATTTTTATAGTAACAAATTATCATGGCAATTATAACTCTATTATCAAATATATTTAAAAAAACTATTTTTATGATTTGTAATTATTTATTTAATAAAAAGAAAATATCTTGTGAAAAATTTTTATTAATATAATAAATATGCAGCAAAACATTGATCAAAGAGTTAATGATAATTATTAAAAAGAAAGTTTATTGTGAGATTAAATTTTATTAATATAATAAATATGCAGCAAAACATTGATCCAAGAGTTTATGATAATTATTAAAAAGTAAGTATATTGTGAGATTAAATTTTATTAATATAATAAAAAGCAATATTATTCTACATCACTATCAAAATTTAACAAAATGTCACAAATAATTTTTATTAATTTTTTCTTTCCACTATCTGATCTTTTTGCCAGGGTCTGCTCAAGCATCACATTGATCCAAGAATTTGTTGATTTTCTGCTTTCTTTTATTCTTTCAATTTCAAGAACTTGCTCAAATAAATCTAGTTTAAAATAATAATATATTTACAAATGCAAATTACCTTGATCAATATCTCTCTTTTTAATTAACTTTTTGCCAGGTACATAAGATTCACTAGTTGATGGTGATGCTAATATATAATATTATTATTTATATAAAATATAATCACCATTATTCCTAACATCTGTAGATTGACTCTTAGTCTCTACACATTCAATTTCAACAGCTATATAATAATAAAAATTTTAACAAAAATTAGTATATTTACCATCTTCATATTGGAAATTTCCACCCATCTGTTCAAACACTAGCAATGTTTGCTTCACCAATATTAGGTATAAGAGGTTTTATTTTTTTCAAGTTGGTGTATTGTTTCCCAGATTCTATAGTGGGAATCAAAAAAGTTAAATTATTATAAAATTTCCAGGTGGGACTGTGATCAGCCCCTGACCCACTTTTTAAACATTTCAACTTTTTATGTTCCCTCAAAAAAGAATCTCTTAGATTCTTCCATGTAGATTTAGCTATCTCTACTGTAAAAGAAAAATATTTTAAATTAATATAATCTTTAATTACCTGTCTCAATACTATTTTCTGCTGCTATGGATTTCCATATGGAATTATTTTTCTGGGTATTTTTATACCCAATTGATCTTTTGTCATAAAGATAAGGGTAAAATCTAACAGAGTTGATCAATTCTTCTTTATTTATATCCTAAAAAATTTATATATGATATTTTTATAATATAGTTTGTTGCTTTGAAAATAACGAAATGTTTTGTAATGTGATTTTTATGTTTAATGCGACAAATTTGGCAGGATTGTCGCGTCGCAAAAGCTCACTATGAATAGTCATTGGTATTTACGCATATTTGTATTTTGTCGTGTCGCTGTTGCTCTCTACTGTGAATGCACCCTTAGTTGGCTAGTTTAGTGATCTTTATTGATTTACAATCTTCATATTTAATATATTTTATATTTTCAATAGAATAATTATAATGGATTTTTTGATATTGGATAGTTAATTATATGATAATGGAGTATTCTTATAGTTAGTATTATTTATTAATCTTAATAATAATATTTTATCCATGTATTTGGCAAAATTATAAAAATAGTAAAGAAAGAAAAACTTAAAATTAATGCAGGAACTATGAGAAAATGTTGAAAAAGAATACTAATTTTTTAAAGCAGAAGTATAAATAATGCCTGTATCTTGTGTTAAGAGATATCTTTTTGAAAATAAAGTATTTAGATATAAACATAATAATCTTTTAAAAAAGGATACAGATAATAAGATACAAATGAAATGTAGATACAAGTATTCTCAATAGGCCTAATTGGACTGACAAATTTCTGGAAAAATTAAGCTTTTAAATTCAAAGATATTTAATTTTTGAGCAAGTAACAAAGTTTTTATGGTACTTTGAATAAAATTTTAATTGATAACTTTATGGTACTTTGAACAAATTATTAATTACTCCATAATTGAGCTTCTAGAAGTTCCACTATCTTAACATGCAATGTTATATTTTATATTCTCATAATTCACCATAAAGCAAGGAATAATTGAAAGGATATTCAATTTAATTTCAATAAATAAGGGCAAATTGATATAATTTAGCATTTGTTTTTTTTTAAATTTTATAATAAATATTATATTAGTAATAAAATTGAGATCATAATATTAAAAAAATTACCGTTATTAGACAATAATATATTATTGTAAGAAAATTTGATACTGTATAAATACCATAAAAAACTCAAAATCATAATTATATGAATTTAATTTGCATACTTAATTACTACAATTACTTACATGATTCAATAGTTCTAAATAAAAGAAGCTTTATTAAATGTAATGGAATCATTTATTTATTGAGCAAAACATATAGTGTAATGGCTATTTTTTTGAGGACGTTATTGGATGTTTTGGCTATTTTGAGCTCGGCGATTTAGTGGTTATACGTCATAATTTTGTATCATGACTACAATTGTCCATCTCTACTTATGAGGAATGTGTAAGGATTGCTCTACCTAAAATTTAAAGATAAAACTACACCCTTTTTTTAAAATGACCACATAATGATATATTATACGATATTAATTTTTATTTTTTTTAGTATTCCTTATAGCACCTTCGACATTCTCGAAGATGAAGAAATAAGGCAAGGTTTGAAGGAATATACAGATTGGCCCACTTACCCTCAGATCTACGTTAACGGACAATTTGTGGGCGGTTTGGACATTATAAAAGTTTTATTTTCTCACTATAAATTTCTCCTTCTAAATAGCCTTTAATTAGTGTTGTAAAACTGCTCGTTTTAAGCCGATTTTTAAAAATAGGCTAACTCAATATTTTAGCCAAAATATATAGCCTAAGGCTCTAGATTTCGCTTATAGATATCTAGACCTTTGTGCCATTTTATGAGCGTAATCCAGACTTGAACTTATATTTTTCTGGATAAAATATTGAGTTAGCCTTTTTTTAAATCAGCTTAAATCAAGCCGTAAACAACACTAGGAATTATAATCTATACTAATAAATAACCATATAAAAAAGAAAGAAAGAAAATGGGAAAAACTTAATTTAATTTTAAAATAAAAATTCATATAGGAATTGAAGGAGACTGGGCAATTGAACACAACACTCAAAGGCCAAAGTTAACAACTTTAAAAAAAAATCATCCTTATCGCTTATGAGAATTATATGTATCGTTGATTAATTTAAAAAAAATATGTATATGTTTATTAAATTGTGATGTTATCATGAATAAACCATATTTTTTATAATAAAAATATTAACATTTGAAAATTGTGTGAATCATTTAAAAAAATATATGTATAATCTAAAACAACCGCTGTTTACCAAATTTGGTACATTTTTAAAATGTAACTTTAAAAGTATCTAGTTACTTTTTTAAAATATCCTAAATTCATTTCTTTGTCATTTTTTTTTGCTGAGATAGTCTCTAAAATAATAATTGCCCCTTCATAAATTAAAAGGTTTCTTAATTTTCCTTTATGAATTTCTTAAGATATTTTTACTATTATTATATATTTTTTTTGTTTCTACCTAAATAATTTATTACAATTAGCATATGTGAAAGAAAGGGATAACGCAAGTATAATCCCAGTGATGATATGAAAGTGTTAGCCAATTTTATAAAAAAAAAATTTAAAGAATAACATCGTTTAACTTTATGATTTTCTTATCTAAAGTCATTGTTTATTCAAATATAACGTCTCTACTTCCATCAAAAGGCTCTTTTAAGACTACTATGTAAAGCTTGATCTTAATTGAAAATAATATTTTGTATAGAATATAGATTTATTGATTTTTATAGATAAAATTTGGAACGATACATATTTTAAGCTTGAAACAATATTTCCTTTACAAAGTAAAATACTATAGAATATGAGAAGTAATCTAAAAATCTTCGCATTGTCTATCGAATCGAGCTTAAGCAATATCTTTTTAATTTATTATAAACTTTGCTTACATTCACAATTAGCCGGATAGAGTGTATCTCAATATTTTCATATCGTCACTGGGGAGATATTTTGGAGGCTGGAGCCTCGGACAATTTGTTATTTTCTGATTATTTTGTGGACAATTCAGCGAATTTTTATCGACAGAATAAATATTGCATGCTAAACTTCTCAATTGCTCCGAGAGTTAAATATAAAAATTTTGTTTAAATCAATCTTTTGTAAGGGGGGGGGGGAGAGTGGGTTCTTCAAATTTATTATTTTCCTATTAAATTGCTTTTGGTTGAATAAAATTTCCATTTCCGTTTTACGCTATGACTGAAAATGTTTTGATTTATAGATCTGTTGTAGCTGTTGAAAAATAGAAGAAATAAATTTAATATAATACATCAAATGCCAGTTAGTTTCTGACAGGGGAATTAAGTTTTCCTTGGTGATGGAGGAAAAACCATCACGTGGGTTGGTGAGAAACAATGGAGATCTCTTTAGGTGTCTTTTGGGGTGAAGAATATATATATTTTTAATCTGATAAATATAATTATGAATAAATATGACGTCTTCGTTAGATCCATTACAAAAAAAATTTCTTTAGAAGTGTTAAAAAGTACGATATTTTCTGATATTCTATCATTTATTGACATTCTGAAGATCTCTATATGATTAGCTTTAAGCAAAACATATAATTATTACGGAAATCCGAGTCCATTTGGATTAAAAACTATTTTTTTTAAATTGAGAATTCAAAATTCCTTAACTTTGTAACAATTTTATTAAAATTATTTTATTTATTCTTAGATGCTATATAATTGTTCACAAATATTAATAACGGGTTTCTATTCAAAATCTTGTATAAATAAAAAATGAATATCAAAACTCAAAAGATAACGTTTGTTTTACAAATTTTTTTATTATGTTTGATGATTGAAAATTTCGTTAAAAGTGCATTTATCCAATCTAATTCGCGATGAAGTTACTTAATCGTATACATTAAAGGATCTTTCCATCGATACTTGATAGCAAGGATCTGGTAGAACTACTCGTTAGTGGGTATAGTAGCGGTTATTGAAATAAGCCAATATTGCAAAATGTTTTGCTGAGAAGCAAATTTTGGCTAATATATTAATAGCCATAAGTGAATTTGGGTTAAATAACAATTCAATACATTTAGGCTCAAAATTAAACACCACCCAACTTGAGCCATTTATTAGGATCAACTCCTGAGCCGACCAGAGCCAAAAGCCAACTCATCTAGTCGGTATGAGTTTATGCCAATTTTTACAACTTTAGATGAGACCACAAAAATTATTAATTAAATAAACATATATTACCTGCATTTTTTTTAATGATAGATGATTTATAAATATTTGAAAACCGATAAATTCCTATAATAAAGTTAGCCCGGCCCAAGAAGATTATTATTTCGAATTCGACGCTTATATTTAGTTAAACTACTCATATCGTACTCCAGGTTAAATTGGGTTATAGATCACGACTTGAGTTTGTTACTCGGTTTCCTAGTTTAAAGTAAAAAATTATATAATATTTTTATTCTAAGATATGAACGCTTTATTTTTTTTTTTAAAAAAGGGATCTTAAATCTTCTTTTTTTAATAAGGTAATTATTTATATATGAATTTTGAACTATTCGTCCTCTAGTTTTTAATATGGGTTCCCGATCACAACTCAGTTTAAAGCAGAGACCTGCAGGCCCTGCCCTAAGCCCAGCGGGTACCAGGGCCGGGCCGTATTTTTTTTAAAAAATTTTTACAACATGAATTATTATATTCGTCAATTAGATATGGTTAATATAATGATTATGTATAGTTATGAAATTAATATAATGTTTGGTGAAGTTAACACTAGCTAACACTCATTATTACATAATATAATAGTTTTCCTGCCATGGAATAAATACGCAAAGGATTTAATACATTATTATAAAATACTATTAATTAAAATATGAGTATTATTTTTTTTTATAAATACAAATTAATATAGTATATTCTCAAAATAATATTTACACAAATTTTTTGTAGTATCAATTTGTAATATACTAAATATCTGTTTAGAATAAAAAAAATATTTCCTAGTGTTGTTAAACGGCTCGTTTTAAGGCTATTTTTAAAAACGGCTAGCTCAGTGTTTTATCCAGAAAAATATTATGCAAGCCTGAAAATATCGAAATATTTAGGCATAGTCAATATTTTTCTGGCGATGAGTCGTTTTTAAAAATCGGCTCAAAACGAGCCGTCTAACAACATTAGCTAAATATGCTTGCTTATTAAATGATAATATTCGCCGAAAAATTATTATAAAATACCGAATAGATAAATTTTTTGTATATACCAGGTCGAATATAATTTTAAAAAATTCTGAGCCGGGCCTAAGAAATTTTTTTAAAAAAATCCAGGCCGGGCTCCCCCAAATTTTTTTCTTAAATATCCGGGCCGGGCCGTTAAATTTCTTGAAAAAACCGGGCGGGTCGGGCCGGGATATGCAAATGGTATCTCTGCAGGCCTTTTAAACATAATAAATTTTTTTTGCTAATATTGAAATATTCGTCCTCTGTGCACAAATATGTGATTGAGCAAAATATTCATAGTAAAATATTATAATAAGTTGGTTTTGGGCAGATGGTCTCTATAGATTTAGTCGACACAGATCTTCCCATTTGGTTGGGTTGGTTCATTTTTTTCGACCAAAAACCAGTTGTGGTTGTGTAAAACCAACTATTTAACCACACTGCCATCTTCTTAAAATTTATCCAATAAATTTTTCATTATAAACGCGTTCGCTTAAAACACTATTATATAAATAATTATTTTATCAATTTTTCCCAATTTATATTTCAACAATATAATTCAGTTTAAATTAAAAATCTCATGTTTTAAATAATTAATGATTTTAAAAATAATGTAGAATTATTATATAAAGAAATAACAAAATATTTATAAATCAATAAAAAAAAATTTTTACATCTCCTATTTTAAAATATAATGTTATACAAAATAATAGTTTTGTATAATAGATGGCGCTAGATATGATATAGTTAAATATTACAATTTAACATAACATAAATTCGTCGTAATTTGATAAAATTTATCAAACCTAATCAAGAATCTCAATTTTAGTAAGATAAACTTCCAATAATTGAAAAAAAATAAATAGAATTATTACATAATTTAATAACCAATAAATAGTAGATTATGATCATTAACAAATTTTTATGTTATAATAATAAATATGTGTTAGATAATATGGCCGGCCATGTACAGTAATAAGTTCTGTGCAAGCCATAACTAACGTGTTTTTATTTATGCTTTTTAATTTTTACAATACTATTTAATTCCTGCTCAATAGATTTATTATGGCTAAGCTTTGATATTGATTGCAAAGGCTTGTTGTAGTTAGAGATTCATATTCTTTAGAATGATGCCTTTGAATATGCCTTTCTGAATTAGCTGCATGGTCACCTTTAATTATTATTGTACAATCATCTATTTTACAGGTTGATTCATTTAAGAAAATATTATAATTAAAAAAATGAACGGACTGGGTTAACTTTGTGGCGGACCATTTTTCTAAAAACAAATTTTTATATATGATTAACGTAAATACAATAAAAAATATGAGATGATCACTGACAACGTCAAGTTGCAAAACCAAATCATATGGATATTATTATTTAAAAATTTCTAAGAAAACCAATTTTTTAAAATATACTCAAATTCCAAAATTTTATAAATAATATATAAAAATATAACCTTATAAATTTTGTAATTTTGAAATTTAAATAATGGCCCACTATCATATTCAATGGTGGGTGGTGATTATACTTAGATTAATTAAATAGTAAATAAAAAATTGGCTATTTTGATATTTTGCATACTAAAATATAAAAAATAGGAATATGGTTCTAATACTAATAAATACAAAAAAATGAGGTAAGAGCAAACAAATATTTTAAAATTATTTGATAAACTAATTAGAATTTATAATCCAACACATATTCTATTATTTATAATAAAGGCTACAACTGCTTATTTAATCATGTCACATGCCAAAATTCTATAAATAATATATAAAATTAAGTATAAGTTTTGAAATTCATATGGGAACAATGACCCTTCTATCAAACTACTCATGGGTGGTGGTGATATTATACTTAAATTAATTTAATAAATGTAACTAAATAAAAATTTGGTTATTTTGATATTTTGCATACTAAAATAAAGAAAAAAGGAATGCTTAAATAGTATATGATATAGTTAAAAGATTGTGGATAAATTTAAATCATAGTTAAAAAATTAATACATACTTTAT